AAGAACGACGGTCAACAACTCATAAAATAATAAATACAATAGAACCTGAAGAATACACCACTAGTATATTCTAAAAGTTTTATTGTCTACGAATAAACTTAAACTCATCAGTAATTTTTCAGGCCAGATATTGGAGACACTTAAGGTTTTACGAGAGAGATGTAATATATATATAACAGCTGAAAACACATTAAATTGCTTCAAAAACTTTTCATTATGCGGTTCATCAGTCAAAAAACTCTGATAATGGGCTTCTGAAATTTTGGAACTATGTAAAAGGATGACATTTTTGTCGTATTCAAACATTGCGATAAGCGAGTAGGATAGAGGCGGTTTTTTCAAAATGTATGTATGTATGTATCAAATTGTTTCATTAGTATTTTTCTGACCATTTGCCACAGATTTTCAGATTTTTTCGAAATGCAGAGTAATAAAGTTTCAAAAATATGTATATTAATGTCAAGGGATCTGAAATTAGATATAGTAATGTTCCCTAACTAAACTCTATATTCTAAATTCCAAAGAATGGATAGTACCTATCAAGAGAATATCCAATAGACACCAAGAAATTCAAATATAAGTTGCTCAAGATTGGAGAAAAAACTTCGTTGTGGTTTTCAGATGGTGCTGGAAGTTTCTTAAAAATTAGAATAGTAGGTAGTTACTCGTCATATCAATCATAACTGATAAGTGATCAAGTATCCACTTGATAAATGGTAATAAGATAAACCATTATTAGTTTACCATAAAATCAGATGCAGACATTAGTTATGACGCCACAAGAAATGAAGAGTTAGTGTGTTCTCGGCTGATCAGTAAAACATATACACACATATATAAATACATATACTCATATATGTAAGTATATATGTGTGTGTATGTGTAGGTATATTTATATTTTTTTCAAGTTGCACGTCTGATTCATTTTTTTTTTGTATGCTCTGTTCGTACTCAGTTGTTATAGTTAGTTTTTTGAATAATTGTTTTTTTCCCTGCTATAAACATTGTATGTTTCTTGGGAAAATAAATCATTATTATTACTAAAACTAACAGGGATGCAGCCACGTGAGAGGAGGGCTTCGAGAAAACTTTCTACTCCGTGAGAGCTTTCGAAATTTTTTCAGTTCTTTTTCAATCACGTGTATGAAAGTAATCGGAATTATCAATTCAATAAAGAATTATTCGTATGCATGTGATTAATGAAGAAAAGAGATTCCATTCCGAACACTTTCACAGGGATTTCAAGTGGTTTTTTAAAACTCTCCTCTTACTCGGCTGCATTCTGTTATTTTTAAACGCTATACAGGTCCGTAATTGAAAAAAAATTGATAAGGGTGGTCAATCAAAAGCCTTTATTTTTTTCATATTTTGTATTATTAGGATACCAAAGCTTTTTTTTTTCGATTCCGATAACGGGTCACGATAGTCTGTATTTTTCAACATAATCGCATTCTGGAAAGCTCATTATTTTATGTCTAATTTAACCAATATCGTACCTTCTATCGTTACCGAGATAGCAATAGTGCGCAATTAAAATTTCACCACCCGGTATACATCTATGGGGAGAATGCCAACTGTCACCCTTACTTAGGATTGAAACTGGTCGCTCCGTAAGTTTATACATTTTACTTTTCGGAGAAACACTGGAGACTTACTTTGCAAACATTTAAACTGCTATTGGCAAATCCTTCAGCATGCATTTCATCTAGTGCTTTTCATTAACACTTATTTTATTATCGAAGGAAACCTTATTCTAAGAGTATTCAATGCCCGACCATCTCAAATACTACTAGACTGCAAGCCCATAATCAATTTTAAGGGGTCATTTGAATCCTCTTTAAAATGTATGAATTTTGTGGTCCCTTATTAGAAAATGAGTTTCAACTTATGCCGTTAGTTGTGAAACACCAATAACCCAAGTGAAGGGGTAATTTGTTCTAGTAGGACTGTTTCCTACAGTCCTATCAAAAAGTAGGAAAAGTAAAACTATACGAGACCTAATATTTTCCTGTTGCATTTATTGTACGGAGTTTGGTTAGGAAATATCCCAGCTGTAATTAAAATCGACTTTTATAAAAACCGTACAACTATTTTCACTTTTTTAAAATTATTTATTACATGCAACACCTACAACTGAAGGCATAAGGACTACTTCAAGAGGTATCAAATGACCTAAAAATTCTGCACGGGCTGCGATTTTTACGTTTAAGAATTTGTGTTTCCACTGCCAATTAGTAATATGTATATTCCAGTACATTAGTAACAAGAGCTTGGAGCATTTATCAACTTTTATTCAAATTCACGAAAATTAAACCAAAGCTGAATATTCAGTTCATACAAATTTTAAGGGACTTACCTGTAAAAGTTATCCATTACTATAGGATTTTTTTTGTAAATATTTTTTGTCCATTTTAGGCAATGAAAAATAATGAAAATTCATTTATGAAATTTGGTGTTAGACTATTTTAAATGAGAATAGGCACGTAATTCTGCGATTGAAAGGTTACCAAAATTTTGTGTGCTACATGAAAAAAAATTATCATGGCAATGAATCACCGCTATTGTGAATGAGTTAGATGCCTGCTATGGGGATAAGTAGTGTTCAGAGTTATGTTAGAAGTAGCATAATAATATATATCTTAATCCTCAGCTCCCAAGTCTCTTGAGGGAGGGATGTAGTTCATATGGATATAACTGCTGGGTAATTTCTGGTAAATTTCTTTTTAAAGCCAACTCAGTGTTTCAGAATAAAGAAATGATTGTTAAAAAACATATTACTTCCTATTGTTATTACTCTCCTTAATACATTTCTACAAACGTTCTTCCAACATTAGTTTTCTACTTGTGATGCACTGTTTGGAACCTTTGGTGTAGTAATGAATATTACTGAAGTTTTATCTTAACACCAAACCATTATTTCAACACCTCGACATGTGTTTCGATCACCAAGTGATCATCTTCAAGAGGAAGATTAAACTTCTTGAAGATGTTCACTTGGTGATCGAAACACAAGCCAAGGTGTTAAAATAACGGTTTGGTGTTGTTTTATATTCTGAAGGAGAAGTAAAAAACGAAGTCAGGGTATTTCCTAAACGATATCTCCACAAATTATTGTATTCTTAATACATATACTTATTAATTTTTCAAAGAGCTGATTGACGAGTGCCTTTTTCTTAAAATTAAAGCAGCTTGAAACTACTCTAAGATGCATATAACTGGTGTAGCTTCTTGGAAAGTGGACCTAGCTGATAAAATGTGTGTAGGGTTAGTATTTTCAGAAATGATTAATGTAATTGTAAAGGGTCATTTTTTCAAAGTGAAACAAACAAACGACTGTTAATATCTTGGAATTGTTGTAGTTAAAAAATTGAATATGAGAGCACATTTTGACTATATACTCAGGAATGTTCAATACTCCTGTGTTACACAGAGATTCAGAGTTGAAGTGTATATTCAAATTACAAAACATAAAAAACCAACTTATGTAACACATCGGTTAACATTAATGATCTATTACTATCTATATACCCCCTAATTTGAAAACTAAAAATGATTCAGAAAGGGATATGAAACTGAAGCAAATAAAATCAATGGTGAATATATTCAAACTTGTGCTTCAGTTTGTTAAATATGTTAAATCTTGATAGGCGGAATTGGAAACCTCTGGCATAAAATTAATCTATTGAAACTCTGATTCAAACTCGATGAACAAAACGTGCGTCAAGAAACAGTATATTTGATCCCATGCGGGAAAAGTGTTTTAATATATGTTGAATTTCGTAGAATATATGACGTGTAACATTGTTGTTTGCCACCAAATCTATCAAGTTATTTGAAAGAGTGATACTTATAATATGATTGAGTATCATTATTGTACCTAAAGCAAAAATCAACTGCTATGCAAATTCTGTGATTACGTCATAGTTATATGCATCTTGAATAAACCTGATTAGCAATCGACTTTTTTTTATTGTTTTATATAATTATCTCCTACATCTACTATTGATTTAACTTTTTTATGTATGTTCCATTTTTTATCACCTGATATTTTTCAACTCCAATCTTTACTGTGTATATGACGATTTCCATGCTTGTAAAAAGTCTCGGGAAAAATAAAGTATTGTATTGTATATAGTATTGTATTGACTTTCAGTGGACAATTTAGTTTTTATTTATTGTTCATTAAGAAATGATTCAAACTGATGAATGTTGCCGTTACTATGTGATAGGAAATCATCATGAAAAATGAGAATTGAAACTTCCTGTTTTTATATCACTTTGTATTTGTAACTAACTTTTCTGCAATTTCGTCCTACAAGTAAATTTTCAAACTAATACATTATACTTCATCCATTTGAAAATGTCCTTGTAAGACATTTTCAAATGGATGAAGTAACGTTAGTTACAAATAAAAGTGGTAAAAAACATAGATAATCTCTCACTTTTCATGAAGAATTAATTTATTTTCATTTTGCGTGGTTGCATGAAGGACGAAGAAGGATTTTTAACAAGATTTGCAAGCAATTTTTGAAAATGATTCAGGTCACTAAGCAAAGTTATTAACTTCCCGAGAATCATTTTTTCTATAATTGGAGTGTAACATATTTTGTGAAAACATAAATTTTGTCAGAGATTTTGTCTATAGAGTTGATTTTGAGAGACAGTAGTTGCACTCTCGGTAGACACAGTTTTATTGTTTAAATAAAAGTTCATCATAAACTGAAGAAACAGTTAATGCAAGGGAATCTATGGATTTTTGAAAACAGTATCAATCTGAAGAGCGGCAGTTTTAGAAAAACCTTTTGGACCTAGAATTTTTCATCAGCCTCCCCCAGGATCCCTACATTGTCACATTGAAAATTTTTTGATAAATAATAAAAAGATGATATTCTAATTACTTGAAAGAATTCAAATATCAAATGTGTACGATTTCATAAGATCTAGCCTTTAAGGAGTAAGGGAAGGTTTCATAAATTTTTAAACCTATCGTTGGGACTCACAGAAATAAACTATATCCACCGCGACACAAAATTGATCAGAATATCCTAGGAATGGCAACAACCAGTTCTAAACTTGATCAACTACGATGGGGTTAGCGGTCACCAATGAAGTCCCAGTCAGCTAGGCACAATGACGAATTGAGAGAAGTGTTCTTCTGATGCTGGTGGAAGTTTTCACCTACTCTTTTTGTCAGGAAAGCCCTGAAAACGATTTGGATCATACACAGACGCATTTTCAAATATTCCCAGATTAGATTGGATATATCGTACCTAGTCCAGCCACCAACCATAATTGTAGCGTAAGTTATGACTTAATATATAGAATTGATATAATTGTAGAATTAGCAGATATACTTTGTTTAAAATTAAATATAACGTAGTATATTGGTCATTTTTGTCTTAGCATCATTACAACATTTGATTAATTCAGACGCTGGGAAATATAGTGCTGCAGTGAGCACCAAATTTTTGTATTCATATATAGTAAATGTAAGTACTTTGATAGTAGAGTAAGCAAAGTTCACTTCCATCACGTTTCTGAACAACGCCATAGAGTATGAGGTTTCTAATACCAGAGTAGGTTTATGAACGACTCAGAGTTTATATAAACATGACTTGTGTTTATATACACAACCTAACCAAAAAAGTGTCATCCTGTAATAATGGAATGCAAGTGATGGCTCAGTACTAGTTGACATAGCTTCATTGTATGTAATATATTCCCCGTAACGTAACACCAAATGTGTTCGGCTCGTTGTGAGATGACACTGTTCGTTCTGGAAGCATTTTGAGTTGTGTCCGTATCAGCTGTATTGTAATAGGAATAAATGAGGTTACTACACCACATGTAACAACAGGCAAAGATAAGGGATACCTATGCACTCATCTCAACTTGTCGCTATGCTTAATGTAAAAGTCGTTTGATGCTATGGCTAAAAAATGGTACGACTTGTATTTCAAAATGGTTTAGGCTGACACAGTTACGTTACAGGTTACTGTTACAAATGGATACGCACTTCCTTCGTTCTCAATTTTACAATATTTACAAAGTCACCACTTTCAGTATTTGAACTTTAATTTGTCGATTTATTTACACACACTTTTCAATAAGTTGAAGAATAGGTCGACTCATTTTATAAAAACCTGTTAGAATTTTGCGAATATTGCAGAAAGATTAGTTTCCACACTCGAAATTAAACATTCTACTTCTATCAAGGGTTATATCTTGAATGCAAAATGTTTAATCAGTTGAAATTTGCGCAAATCAATAATTTTCTAAATTCATCCAAACACACAAAAACCACACTTTTAAAATATAGAGTTGCACACATTTTTATCGATTCAGCTTGATATATGAGGAATATATGTTGAGATCATTTCCAAAAAACGAAAATAATAAAATTAAGAAAAATTAGTTCCCTAACATGTTTGGAGGAGTCACAAGGAAAACAACAAAAGTTTATTGAACAGTTAGTACTTTTATTTCTTGCAATATTTATTAAAGTGCACCAAATTTCACATTGCTGAGGGTTAAGGGATTGAGGAAAAAAGTGATAAGTCAAATATTCGTGACTTGTATCGAAGTACATAATGAAAAAATATTAATTTCATGCCAGTCATGTTGGTGTTAACGCAGGTATCTATTTCTTGTCAAGTATCCTTGAGATACACATAAAGAATTTTGAGGCAATTATTTAGCTGTCATTTTGCATTATTGACTGATTGAATGATTTTGCAATCAGTTTGTCAATAAAAGAAACAAAAAATTATTTGATATATATCGACGTACGACTCTTGTTGTTTTGTGATAGATATTCTCTTTGAATGTTTTTTCTAGAAAGGCTGATACAGGAAAACCAACAAACAAATAAAAATGGAGTTATCAGGAAGATTAAATAGATGTCACTGCATTCAAAAAACACTTCATTGTCAGATTTTCACTAAACAGTTTTACAAAAATGCAACGTGTTTCTTCATAAAATGACTTCTTCGGGGGTCTTTGTGAAACTGTTTAGTAAAAATCTCACAATAAAGTGTTTTTTGAATAGGTTATGAATTTTCATTAAGTATCGGCCAATTCCATCATATAGATGTCACTGGACATTTTGTGCTAAAACCAGCCCTGGTGTTTTTACTTTTATCTGATAATGGTTATTTGGCCGTATATTTCACAGATCAATATGAAATCAAAATTTGCAATGATCCTAGTAAGATTTATACCTTGGGATGCTAATAGTTTGACAATGAACAGAGTAATATGTTGTCAATAATGTTTGCATGCTTCTAGCAGGCCCTTTTCCAGGTATCAGGGAACATATTTTAAACATCCCAAAGTCAGGATCACTGCTTCAATAAATTAAGTTGTTCTTACAATGTTTATGATGCATGCATCTTTTATGCAAAATTAATAGTTACAATCTATTAGTATCAATGAACTGATGTAGGAAACTCAAAATTAGAGGAGACAAAAGTATATTATCCAATAACTTTAAAATAGCGCCCGTTTCAAGCAAATACACCTACAGTCCTAAAATTATTCATCATTTTCAAAATATTAGCTTTCCTAGAGTGATGGTCTGGTAGCTATAGGATTATTGACTATTCTAATAGACTATTCTGATCTCATTATTACAAGATCAAAAGTAACTAAAATAAACACTGGTTACTGCATCTGCTTCCTAACAAGCACATAGTTATGAAGAATAATCTAATTTTCATTAGTGTATGGCAATATTTCTTCCAACAGGATACTTTCCATTTTTCACAAGTTTGTCCAAATATATCTCTTGGATGAGAACTTTTCACTTAGTAAAATTTTGATTAAGCAATAAAGATCGAATGTACTCAATCAATTCGTTTTAAAGCAACAAAACCTATCAAGAAGCATAATAGGAACTGTAGTGATTTTCATTCCAAAATAATGTACAAAATCCACATATTGAGATTGTTAATCTCATTATGTTTATATACATTGTATAATAGGGGAAAATCTAACCTCGCCTACAATGCAGTAACTTCAACAAAAATTGAAAACATTACAGAGAAGTATGCTGAAAAAATACATAAAAATTATATTGTCAGAGCTTGAACCAAACATCTCTGGTATGGTAGGCTAAAGTTAGTCACGTTATGCCAACATGTGTTTCTGGTTGACAAGTACAATAAGTTATGCAAATAAAATAACCATAACTTTCATTAGGCTGCCAATTTCACTAATATGAATAAAATACGTTAAGTTTCTATTTCAACTTGTCTAAGTTACCTTCTCCAAATGTGTTTGTCACGTTTTAAGTTTATCAAATGCATATGAAAAACTCAATGCATAATGAACTCCATGGAAGAATAATTACATCCTGCAGTTGAACATTGAAGCTCGTTTTGAGAATGAAAACTGATAAAATTGACAGTTTTGAACTACAGTGAGTAAATGTCTTTTCTTAAAATTGAGCTTTACCCTTCAAGTTATATTTAGGCATTCAATAAACCGTCCAGCCATGTGTGATTGGTGAATAAAATAGATAAGTGAATATGAACATAACATAGGGATCCTTCACAATTACTGACCCCTGTTGAAACTCCCAACAATCCATATCAAATATGGAAAGATTGAAACTAGGGCAAAATAAGTCAACTCTTAGGATAACAGCTCACCATCATTGATAATTTCTCCCAAAGGCGTCATCTCCCATCTCATATTTGAGAGATATATACAAAAATAACTAAAGATTTTCAAAGGAATCTGTTTACTACCTCTGAAAAATTAAATGAATTGAGTAGATAACACGAGTCATCCAAGATCTATTCTCTATTGTAGATGTCATGATTGAAGGCGTCACGATAAATGTCCCAAATGTTACGCATTAAAACAGGAGAATTTGCGAACTTACCTCAAGCGAGTTGAAAACTATTCATACATGAATAATGGGTATGGGTGAATACCAATCTTGAAATCTTGCGAAGAGAATCGACTAAAAACAATATGAAAATTATTCAGTATTTTACGCCATCGAATTAACTTCAGCAAAATAGAAAATGGCGCATAACAAAGCATGAACAAATGAGAACCAACAAAACAAACTGACATATCAACGTTGCCATATTAGACTCACATAACCATATGCAACAGACTACCAACATCTATAATCTGCAGTTTTGCCAATAAGGTAGATCCAAAATTTGGCCTCTTCTTCGATTTCTCACGACAATATGCGACTATCCCAATAAATAAAAATATCTAGTTTCTGATAGTTTCCCATTTTCCTGGCATGGATACTTTTTACAATACGCGTCTGGACCATATTTCAAACATCTTAACATCACATTTCATTATTATCGACCACGACATAGCGCCTCAAAGAAATAATTGGTTGATCGTGTATAGTTTACTGTATTAGTTTGAAAATATCCTTATAGGATGAGACAACGGTAAATAAAAACGGTAACGTTAGTTATAAATGAAAGTGATGAAAAAACATAAATAGTATTATTTCTCATTTTTTATGATGATCTCCTATCACGTAATAATGGCTACCTCCATCAATTTTATTATATTTCCAAACATTCATTCACATTTTTCTAGATGCCTGGGAGGCTATATATTTGAAATCATGTATACTGAGGGGTCAATTATTGTGGTTATATAGTTGATTGCATTTGGATTATTCATCTAAAATATTTCTAAATATAATTGTCAAATTTTGAGACTATAATAAGAAAGACTTATCAAGTGAGTTAAGGTGTATTTTAAACGTTTGTCTAATAACATAGTTAACAATAAATGTAACAAGCGGTGAATTGGCACAGTGGAAGTGCGCCTGACTCAAGATCGAAAGGTCATTATTTAGTTGAAGTTGGGATGATACTGCAACGTTACATGGCTGACGGGCTGCGAACAATCACGATGATCACTTGGTCTCGTGGAGTTATTACCATTGCCTACTCAGAACACGAGGCTAATAATGATCGAAGAAGTCGATAAAGTTGACACCAAAAAATATAACACTTGTTTATTTCAGAATGCAAATATCGCAGAAATATATTTATTATCATTCTCTAATATTAATTTACATTTCCAAAGATTTATTAGTTATGGTGTGGGAGAAGTTTCATCAGATACATTAAGCTGTTTATCGAATAATCAAAACCCCTTGGACGAATTTTCAATAGGGGCTTCATCTTGTATAAATCGCGTACAATGACCAGTGATTAAAAATATCACAATATTATCTAGGGGCTTATTCATAATCAGGAGAGTTCTTAATAAAATTGTTTTTAGTAAAACCGGTACCTCTGGCGTGGAATAAATCCAAAACAAGCACTTTTCCCAACGAAGAAGAAACTGAAAACAGATTTCTTCGCGTCCTGAACATATTAACTTGGTTGGTGAAACATTCGTCGAGAAGAGTATTGAATTTCTTGTGAATGGGAAAATTCCTTGTTTTGGGGAGAACAGATAATTTCTGATGGATTGCTTCAACCATGGTAAATTTTTGAATAAAACAATAGATAAATCCATCGCATCAATCGATGACTTCAGCAACTAGTCTATTTTATGTTGGTACACCCTTTCCTGCCTCAGCCAATCAACTACACGGATATAGTTGTCAAATAATTTTTTAAAATAGAAAATCCGAATTTACTTTTATTGTTCTTATAAAGATAACATATTCAAAAAAATTATGGCTGGTAACGAAGGTAAATTCAAAGATCGATCGCCAATAATATGTGCTGTGAGTGAATTTCATTACTTATGAATGTTTTGATAAAAAATCAAAATTTTAGGCTGGGATGCCTTCAGGGACTTCTAAAGACAATGTTGAGAATACCTTAAAGGAATACTCTTTGGAGGATGAAGTGACAGCAGTAAAACACGATGCTAATATATGGTTCGAAAACGAGTTTCGACCGCCTCTTCAGTTACCTCCTATACAAAATGCCTGTTTTAAAGGAACAATGACAGAAGTAAGTTTTATATGAATATGAGGGCAAATGAAATTTGCAAATGTATAAAGGTGAAAATAGTCAAAACAATGGGCAGTTGGTGAGCGAGCCAAGCAGCATGTCAATCTGATAGCTGAAGTAAAACCATCAGGCACCTGTGTAATGTTTTTCATTTAAAAGATTCGTCGCAAGTAACTTTCTATTTATGAAAATCTGAGACTCTTGCAGAGACCAGCGATGAGACCTGGGGAGTGGGCAGATTGAGGGTCCGGCGTCAAATCACAAATTCTTTACAGCATGTCACTGTCCGAGTAGTAGGAAGATTGAGACCCCAGTATTGTTATAGCTTCATGAAAATGGCTTCAATGTCGAAGCCGAAACACCGAACAACTAACAACAATAATGTATGAGTCAAAAAGTTGGTGAAAATAGTTGAAATTTTACTGAATAGAAAATCTAATTAAATGAGATCAGCTCATACGTCTTTTATTTGTTATACATTGAGATTTTGATTATGGAATTTTTCAGAAAAAATAAATAGTAGAAAATGTTACTGATGGAGAAGATAAGGATATATTTGTTATATGCTCATAATGAAAAATAACATATTTAACTAAACTGATCTATGTCAGTTTTTTTAAATCGATATGTCTTTTTCACAATTAAAAAAATTTATCTTCAGAATAAATATTGTTCAGTATGTAAAATTTTTGATTCCTTAAAGTTCATCTTATGCTCGATGTATTTTTTTGTTCATATTCATATTTTGAAACAAAGCTAGGAGTAAGGGTATCCCTCAATCATTCCATTACCTCATGTTAATGCTCATTTTCCTCACTCACAGATAAAACCCTTACTGAATCCACCTATGAGAGCAAGATACGAAACCTTATTAGATGAATTGAAAGAAACTACCTACAGTTCTTACTGGCAGAAACCAGTTGGTAAGGGAAGAGATCAAGTACCTGGTCTACCAAAAGGAATGATACCAACAGAAGTTACATTCGGAAAACCGTTTACAAGAGGTATATTTACAAAATTGCTCAAAGGTTTTTTGTATATATCGTTGAACTACTTCTGAATGTGAAAGATTATAATACCCAAAAATATAACCAAAAATTGAAAATATGGTTAATTTGTGTACTACCAAGACTGAAATTGTTATAAGCCCTGTAGTTCTCTTTTTGAAGTGTATCACTTAGGAATGCATTATTTCGTGTAGGAATAAAATGCTTATAGCAGCGATACAGTAATTACTCTGGCAGTGAATTGGCAATTTATTTAGTTGGGATGTTTCTTCAACGTTACATGACAACAGACTGCGAATACCCTTGATGATCCGTATCATCAACATTACCTAACCAGAACATGTAGGTAATGACCAACGAAAGTGGATGACGTTGACAGCGAAAAAAAAAATTCTCATAACATGCTACTTTTTTGTATTTTCAAGCCACTCATTTCAACGTGATGTTCTGGTTCAAAAACTGAGAATGCTCGATACAGAATTTTAATGGTATTGATTTCATATCTAGTTTAACAAAAAATAATAATTTTCATTTCAGAGTGCTAAATCATTAGAATTTGATTTTGTTGTAATATTTAGTTCATATCATTTAAAATTATCATATTTCATCATTTTCAGAAATACCATTAAGAGAGTTAGTAAATCCTCCAAAAACTCCTTATGAAGTGTTACAAGAGAGCCAGGTCGGCCATGAACTTTACAAGAAGACCCATAACGATTATAATCCTTCCGAACAAGTTGAAAGAGGGTATGTTATCAAAATGTGTACAGCAGACATACAGTTATATACTATATTCGAAAAAGTTATTATATGCCTCTTAAGTCATAAGAAATATGATGGAATTGGCCGAAAGTTCATGAAAATCCATTTCACCATATTTGGGCTGCGACTTTTTCCTGTTCCCAAGATTGAAGACACCCATGAAAGGAATGTGTTTTACGACAATTGAGGAGATAAAAAGTGAATTGCAGAGATAGTTCAAGAACATATAAAAAAGTGCATATTAAAACGGCTTCAAGGATCGGATAAAAACGCTGTCACAAGTGTATCTGAGGAGGCCTACTATGAAGGAGAGCAAACAGAAATTGATGAATGAAAAATATTTTTTGAGAAAAATCAAAATTCACCAATTTTTTTGTACAAACCTCGTACTTATTCAAGCATGAGTGTTTTTGAATTCTATTTATCAGTCATAAAATAATAATTTTTCAAGAACTCACATAAGTAACAATGGGTAAAATTGTTACAACATTGAAAAAAATATCATTCGCAGGTACAAATCTCCTCCTTTCCAAAAAGAGAAATGTTTTGGCATCAGTTCGAAATACGATTACAGAGGAATATGGGTGCGATGTGCTTGTGATTGGCATATCAAAGAACCAGTTATGCATGCAAGTAAAATTCAAGCAGATTATTTAGATCGTGTGAGACCACAAATTGGAAAAATACTGGCTCCGTAAGTAAATAACAGCAAATAAGATGTATAGCTTGATTGATAGGTTCAGAATGGAGATTTTTGCATTCTGTTATCGAAATATTTGATACCTTTCCCTCTCCCTTTTATTTTGTACTATTCGTTTATTACCCATGTTTCTACTTTTTCAAGGTGTAACCCATGCTTTTAAACCTTTATTAATTTTTTCAAACTGGTTTATGTTTTCAAACTCACCTATTTTTCAACATTTCAAAATTGAAATATATTCAAACACTTTTCAATAAATTATATTTGTATGTATAACCCCGATATAAGTTGACAAATTTTCATATATTTTCTAGAAATCATAATATTGAATGTGTACCAAAGGGTCATACTTTTGGTGATCGTTCTGAAAGGTCGTTTTTTGGTTTGGAAGACTTGCTAAAAGATTCACGTTGCGAGCCATGTGTATTCAAAAGGGATTTTTATAAATGGATATCTTCCTTGAATAAGTTCAAACTCAGAATGAAACAGAGGAGAATTGATGGTTTTGATTTCAATGATTTTTACAAAAAGGCCCTCTACTGGGATCAGGTAATTCAAAATTTATTTGCTGACACTTTTCAAAATTATTGTACATGTTGAGACACCATCAATTACGAAAAATTTTACTGTATTATAATGGAAATAAATGCTTTCTTCAATTTAGAAAAAAAAATGTCAATAAGTCAACTTGTTTAGACCTACAAAACGATAATAGAGCTGAAGTAAATAGAAAAATATATAAATGAAATAACAAAATCATTGAAAATTACATTTTTATAAGATGAGCAGAATTGCACAGTGAATGTTTGAACGGGGCTAATGAGCAGGTAAAAGTACCGATACTATTATTATTGAAATTATTCAGTTATTATATTATTCAAGTATGAAGTGACGATCTTCTAAAGATACCTAATGCGTTTAAGGTGAATAATGTATTTTGATTATTGAAGTGCAAATAAGCTCCCATTTTGGAGGACATGTCTGTGTCTGGGAAATTTGATTTGAGCATTTTCTTACAAGGGGATATGTCACATTTGTAAAAAAAAGGAAACGGATTGCACAGCAATAATCAAGTTTTTTTTTCTGATTGATTCGGCCGTTACTTGATGAAGATACATAGTAATTTCAAAAACTACACCTCACGATTTTAAAAGACAATGTGAAAAATTTATTAGTATTCAAGTTGAAAAAATTTGTGGAAAAATATGTTTTTTGTGTATATTGTAATTGTTGCTACATTTTAGGAAAAGACCGGATACTTACCAACAACAATATTCTATGAGCTATGTTCTTGTCATCAGATCATGTTTCCAAAAGAAGACATAGAATCATTATTGAAGGTTCTGGGAATTATGCAAGAGGAAAAAATTAACTACAAGAGGTTTATTGATCTAATAAATGTCAATGAGAAGCCTATAGAATTCATGCCAATGAGAGGTAGGTATCAATTATTTTTATTATTTTTTTATAACTTGACATTCAAGGCCTTCTTATAACTTTTTAATCGAGTTATTTCAGAGACTCGCATGCTTTTTCGTACATATTACACATCATTCTGAGAGTTTTACACATATTCCAACAAGCCTCAAAAATTTATTGCTTTGTGAAACACATGTAAGTATAACATATCTTTGATATAATTCAACGAGATTTTCATATAAAGAGATTCTTCAACCGCATCACATATTTGTTGTACAATAGAGATACATTCAAGATTATTGAAATGCTATTGTAGGTATAAGATATTTAACTACATTAAGTTTTTCATATATTTTCATGAAGTTCTTTAATAATTCTTCAAAAATACATAAAAGTCATTAGTCTTCAGATATTTCCAATGAAAAAAAAACATAATTAGTAGGATATCGTTTCAAAATATGTAATATGAATCCTTTTTGCAGATATTCCTAAAGAGAGTCTATACTATGTGACTACTAACCAAGCTGCCAGTTGTGATTATCTAATTATTGATAATTCAGGTAATTCGTTTTCTTATATAAATACTGAGTGGCGAAAATTTAATTGCACATTATTTCTATCTCGATAACGGTAGAAGATACGTTGGTTAAATTAGACAATAGATGTACTTTCTAGAATGCAATGAAATTAGATTTTTGAGATAATAAAAAAAATATATTCTTGATTTTGCTACTCTGGTATCTTTTTCATACAAATCATAAGGATTATGATTGAACAGTTTTTCGAGTACTAGAAATTGTGACCTTACAAAAAAGTCCGTTGGTTAGAAAATCTCAGTTATTTTGAAAAAAAATATATTTTTGGAAATACCTTTTAACGGCGATATCTTAAGTTGTACAGGGTGATTCAAAATCGAATATTTTGCTTTTTTCACAAGAATGCTTTGGAAATGAATTTGACGTTTTACTCGTTTGAAGAGGTCATTACTGTTGGGTACGTTCCTTTATGACATCCTTGAGCGAAATAGTTATTTTTGTATCAGGGGTGCATAATCAGTATTTGTTTTAATAAAATTTGCAAGAAATGTCAACATTTTATTTCAGGAAATTTTGAATATGTAGAATAAATTAAAATAAATGAAACTAAATTGTATTCAAATAAAATGTTGGAAGTGTCCACCTTCAGCGAAGATACAGGCAGTCAGTCGTCTAGTCATTGAATCTCGCACCCGCTCAAAAATTATTGGTGTGTTTCTTATTGTTTCACAGGCGTCTACTATTCGGTTTCTTAGATCTTCCTTGTTCACTACGAGTCTTATAAACTAGTGACTTCAAATGTCCCCAAAAATAAAAATCTATCGGGTTTAGATCTGGGGACCTTGGTGCCCACGCCTGGTTAGGTTCTTCTACACCCCTACCAATCCATCGATTTGGATAAACTGTGTTAAGGAATTCCCTGGCTACAACGCTAATATGGGCCGGAGCCCAATCATGCATAAACCACATGCGGATACGAATTTCTAATGGTACATTCTGAAGTAGTCCCGGCAATTCATTTTCTAAAAAGTGTCTGTAAGTTGTGGTTTTCAGTCGGAGCGGAAGAAAGAAAGGACCTATCAAGTAATTATCAATTATTGCCGCCCATACATTTACAGAAAATTGATACTGATAATGCCTTTCACTAACTGCGTGCGGCATAGAGAAATTTATTGTCTTTGGCGTGCGGATTTTCGAGAGCCCAAACATGGTTGTTATGAAAGTTTGTGATAGCATTTCGGAAGAAGTTTGCCTCGTCCGTGAAGAGTACATATCTTAAATATTTAGGATTTCCAGCCAATTTTCTCAAAAACCATTGACACATAGTAATGTGTTGGGGAAAGTCTCGTGGCAAAAGAGCTTGTACTCTTTGAATATGGTATGGATGAAACTGTTGATCGTGGATAATTCTCCAAACTGTGGACTGAGTAGAATTGACAGCTTCAGCAAATACTCTTGTGCCTGTTTCTGGATTCTCCTCGAGAGCGTTCAAAACAGCTTCTTCCGATTCTGGGGTTCGGACTGCCCGTGGTCTTCCAATAATATCAGCTGCCCTCTTAAAGCTACCTGTTTCTGCCAAGCGACGGTGGAGACTAGCAAATGTTGGAGCTGAAGGCAGTACTCGATTAGGAAATCGCTCCTGGTAAATACGTCTTGCTTCGCGCGCATTGCCATCCGCAAGGCCATAAACGAAATGCATATCGGCTAAATGAGCATTATTGTTTAAATAATCCATTTTTTCAAAATAAGTGTTTTCTACTTCTACTTACGGAAACTTCAACAAAACATCTAACTGTCACAAAATATGTAATTACCAAAACTACTCACAAACGTCAAATTTACTTCCAAAGCATTCTTGTGAAAAATGCAAAATATTCGTAATAATTTGAATTGAAGGGGTTATATTTTTAGGAGTGATTAATTTTTTTGGGAAAGAAAGTTTTTGGCTTTCTACTTTCTTTGGAAGATTCTCTCATCCCTTTTTTTTTGTATCAGATGGAGTAGTAGAAAGCCAAAAACTTTCTTTCCCAAAAAAATTCGTAATAACTTCAACATGCATCGATTATCAAATAATCGACTTGAAGTTTTCAAGTCCAAATATTTAGAAAACGGTTGCTTACAGCGACTAGTAACAAGGGTAGCTTATTTACGTAGATATGATAGAGGAATCGATTTTTTTACTGAAAAATGTGCTAGAAGTACGCCCAAAAAAGTTATGAATCTTTAAAAAAGAAAAAGACGTGTAGGTGGCGCCCCCTACGAGTAAGAGCAATAAGAACATCAGGTTCGAATTCGACACCTCAAGAACCTCCTATTACTAAGTTTCGTTTAATTAAGTTCAGTATTTCAAAAGTTATTTGAAAAAAACGAAAATAAAAATAAAACTTCAACATACTGTATCTTGGAAACGAAACGTTTCCGGACATTTATTTATTTGGACAATTCATATTAGAATATTGTGAGGAATCACCTCCTGAAGTTTGTCAAAGTACTTTTGAATCACCCTGTATAATTCAATTCCAAAGCATACCTATTCACGGATAAAAAACAGCTTGGCAAATCTAGCTGTGCCTCTGAGATGTGTGAACGATATCACAGATTAAATCTGTGACGAAATATAGAGGTGGTAACAGTCCACTACCAACTATTATCAGGAAGTTAATAGCTGGGCTAAAAGGTCTCGAGCCTAACACATAAATGGCGTCAATCTTATTGCATTCACTGATTTTTCTGTTAGTACTAACCTTCAAAACAAGCTGTTAAAATTTCATGATATTCTACTCATAAGTTTGTGAGTTATTTTGCTAAGAGTGACACTACTTTTGCTATTTTCAAAACATTAAAAGCCATTTTTTGAGGTTAAACACAATGAATTGTATTTACTCACAAATCTATCGCAGATAACGCTGGAAGGTTCTTTGAATAATATATTATATTGTACGTTGATCAATATTATATTTTATAAATTCATTTTCTTTGATCTAAGTTAATCAAAGTGAATCTAAAAAAATGAACTTTAAACGAACATTCTTCGGAAGTGGAATGAACTACTCTGAAAGAATTCCGATTTTCAATTGTGGAATATCATTGACTTTAGGTCGATGATGGTCACTGTCTTGCACTGACGAGTGACTAATGAGCCCGAAACCGGTCTGCAAGTGTGCCTGTTCCAAAATTGAATGTCGACTCTTTCAGTTGTATTGACAATTGCATATGCAGGAAATTTTCTGTGAAGATTCCTGCACTGACGTCTGTCGGATATAATCCGTCGTTCGTGGTATTAGCCAGGGGAGTAGTTGTTTTCTGATAGGCGTCAGTCCATTCAACCTACTGTGTAGGTATATCGAGACTGGCTTGAACGTTTAAAGTTCATTTCTTTAGATTTGTTTATTGCCAGTCTTCAAGCATAGCCCACTGACTGATAAGAAAGTTAATCAAAGTAGTTAAATATTCGTGTAATTTTGTACAGGGCCATCATTTCTCAACTCGAACATCTTTTCTGGCTGATATTTTGATATATTATGAAAAAAATAAAATGGTTTTCGCTTTACCGTCAAGGCCAACTTGTTTTTAAAAATTGTGAATATTCTTGGACTCATTTCCTACTAAGCAGAGTCTGGTAGGAATTTTTGACACTCACTGAATTTGCCCACCTTTGAAGAAGCTTCAACAGTCACTGCTATATTTAGGACTGTCAGATTTGGTATTAACCAACTGTTGAAAAACATTGGCACCCATTCATATGTCCCATTGATTCTGAAACAGTATAGACAACTAACATTGTTTATCATGTTTGGAATCAGGTATGTCGGCAGCAGGGATGCCATCTATAAGAACTGATTTGGTGCGGCCTGTTGTACCACCTACAGGATGTAGAGCAGATTTGGACAATTTGGGAGATGAATCAACGGTCAACTCTTTGATAAATCCAAGTATATACACCAATTATGGATTGACATCTAGAGATTTCTTCACTGTAAGAATTACTATAATTTTATAATGAGAAAGTTTCGATAATGGAAGACTCTTTCCGATTCAAAACCCGAATATTGAAATCCAGTTCATCTCTGTTGTAGCCACGTACAGCCGAAACAATAAGAACACTTTTTGAAAAAATTGGATATAACTTCCCCAATGACTCATTTGAAAAAATATGGAAGGAAGGAGTGGAACACGACCAAACTGGACTGGTGTGTGTGGAAACTTTTAAATCTCTACTAACGAAATATATTGCTCCTCCAAAAATAACTGTAGACGAAAGGGACTGTGAAAAAAAAATGTAAAAACAAAAATATTTAATAAAAACATTTTGAAACTATATTTTACACCAAAAAAATAAATAAGTATTCAACTATTCCTGCGTTCTCTGTCATCCTTATTTTTGTGACGTCTACTTTTTTCATATTTCCCATGATCTTTAGATTGTGATCGTTTTTCAGAAATATGTTTCTCAAAAACTCTCCGCTCATTCTTCAATCGATGGCCATTGTCTTCAGATCTACTTTTAACCCTTTCATAATCTTTTTTTTTTCTTCTATCACTTGAATCGTTATGTCTCTCATTTTCTTGTTTGTGATCATCTTTTGAGGTATATCTTTCTTTTTTCTTGGTACTATGATGATCACCTTTTCTCTCTATTTCATTTTTCTTTTTATAAACTTTTCCTCTTCTATTCTGCTTTTCATCTTCTGAACTTGATGATTCTGTAAATGAAATTTAACACAAATTATACCAATTTTGTAATTATAAGTGTAATTAGCATTTATGTACCTCCTAGAGGGAAGCGAAATTTTTGCAGTTGATTTCCATAGGTAATGGGGAATGTTCCTCTTGACGAAAATCAAGTAGTTTTCATAAAAGAGCTCTAAAACAACGCATTTTAAATTTATCATTTCAACCTTTTTCTTTAAAAAATTATTTAAATACTTAAATAAGAGGAATGAAATGATGCATTCAACATTTAAAGGGATTAGTTTCTATTTCACCATTTGGCAACATCGGTTATAGCTAATAAAGGACAATGAATCTGTTACCTGTATGAGACAAACAAAGATGACATATTTC